GAGTCCTACTGTTCGAAACCTATGGTTGTCCTGGCAACAGCTGCAAATTGTTGATGGGTTGTTGTACAAACGCCATGACACTAATTCAAAACTCACAACAAGATTACAACTGGTTGTTCCGGAGAAGTTACAAGACCGTGTGATTGAAGCCAATCATGCCTCAATTTTCGCTGGACATTTGGGAGCTAAAAAGACATTAAGTAGAATATCACGCAGTTTTTTTTGGCTCAATATGAACGAAGCAGTCCGCCTATTCATAGCAAATTGCGTAATATGTGGTGCTAGGAAACGACCAACATCAAAGCCAAGGGCACCACTGGGAGAATATAATGTCGGGCACCCCATGGATCGAATTGCAATTGACATTATGGGCCCCCTTCCAGTTAGTGACAATGGAAATAGATACGTCATGGTTGTAGGTGACACTTTCACTAAATGGATTGAGGCATACGCCATCCCAGACCAGACCGCCGAGACAGTAGCCGAGAAACTTGTTAATGAATTCATATCTCGATTTGGAACGCCCTTAGAGCTTCATTCTGACCAAGGCAGGACATTCGAATCTAACCTATTTCAGGACGTCTGCAAATTACTCGGAATTACCAAGACAAGAACAACTCCATACCACCCCTCCTCAAATGGAATGATTGAAAGATTCAATCTGACTCTTGCCAATATGATCTCATCTTTCGTGGATAAAAACCAAAAAGACTGGGACAAGAATTTACCACTTTTGACGGCGGGGTACAGAAGTTCTACACACGAAACTATAGGATTTTCTCCTAATTTCCTCATGCTAGGTCGTGAAGTACGGACACCGTTAGAGTTTTCACTCGACATCGACCCGATTGACGAGGAACCGAGTGATATCGGAGGATATGCTAACCGGATGGCCAAAACAATGAAACAATCATGGAAGCTAGCTCGTGACAACATTGGGAGAAGTACGTCTAGGCAAAAGCGCAATTATGATTTGCGTACATCAGTCAACAACTATGAAGTCGGCGACCTAGTCTACCGTCTAGACTCCACTAGGCACAAGGGCCTATCTCCTAAACTTAAAAGTGCACGATGGGTAGGCCCCTGTGTAATCACGAGAAAGCTAAGTGAATTAATATTTGAAATTCGCAGTAGCCCGAGAGGAAAAACGACGATTCTTCATCATGATAGACTCAAACCCTTCCTTTCAGCCAACGTGCCATCATGGGCCCGAGAACTATCCCAACATGCACGAAATGTGTTTACTACTAGGAATCAACGACAGGCTGGAACACAGACTAATCCCAAGGACGGCATCGAACTGAGGAGGAGCGGCCGAAGGCCAAGACCGCCCGTCCGGCTTAGTTTATAAACAACGGATCTGGCCATCAGCGGTTTTTGGGACATTTCACATATTTCGTCATTCCATGCCAATAACTTCAACAAGACGAGACGCCTGCCATTCACTCTTATATTTCTACAATGGCGTACCACTCTTCATATCTGACAATGGGGATGCATAACTGTGATGGGGATATGGATAGCGGGTTCGCATCTCCATCGACCCCCATTGTCGATGAGAGGACCTACTCCCCGGTTTCGGCGGCGGGTGACGAGGGCATCAACAAATTGTGCCATTTATTTGGATATTACTCTTCCGGATTATTTTCATCAGATGTTTAAACTGTGCCATTTATTTGGATGTTACTCTTCTGGATTATTTTCATCAGATGTTTCACTCTCTGTCCCTTTTTTTTTTCTTCTGTTGTTTCGGTGGAGATTAATCATTCAACCTGTTATTGTTAAGTCGTCCAGCATGACATGGTCATTTATTTTGAAATTGGTGTGTTGAGCCAATTGTATAATGTGTTTAACATGTACCTGCTCTTCGTTCACGAAAAAGGAAGCATTCGTACTTCAGGATTTATCATAGATACGAGGAAATATACCGCATGACGAGTCGACGATTTCAAAGGGAAACCGAGTGCTTTTTTTTTAATTTATTTTTGACGGTTGCTGCATTGGGTGCCAGCCTCAGAAGGGGAGCACAGCAATGGCAACAAGAGGACGCAGTGCATGGCCATTTATTTAGTAGTAATAGTTTCGTATGTGTAGGGCCAATTTATTTTTGTTCATTTTATTTTTCGAGAGCATCGGTGCGGAAAACGGAGGCAGAGAGTCGTCATTTGGATAGCGTTAAACATCTCGACATCGTATTAGTTTTGTTGGCGAATTTTTGTGTATGCGTCGCGTCGGAGAGAATGAGAAAGCATTATATCAGTTTGGAAATCACGGGACAACCTCGAAGATATCGGAGCAACGTCAATCATTCATGTCCATGATATTGCGCCATGTAGAAGTGGAGGACCCGCCGTAGATACTTGATTGTCAATTTGTCATGTGTTGGGAATAATGCGAAGTCGACATGCTGAGTCAATGCTGTTACGTGATCCTTATGGAATATCCTGAAAATATTCTTATTTCTGATTGAGTTATCTGAATTCAGTAGAGGCGAGTTTACACAACCACGAGCTTTATCATGTTTATGGAAGCAGAATTATCATTACGAATTTCCCGAATGTAATGGAATATCAATGTGAAGCCAGGATTCCTACACAGAGTCACTCTCGTTTGAACTTAAATCAGCAGGACAGTCATTGGTCCTCGTCGACAGATCTGGACATTTATTCTAACATTTCAAGATAAACTGGGACTATTTGATCATCGATCGAGGAGACTTTGATAGAGAACTCTGTTGTCCGAATGAAGATAGCGCGATTATTTTACCGAACTTTGTTTCGTTGTTAAAACTGTTGTTTTGAATCTTTTTTGTACATGTTATCACTTGTACATTGCATTTGCATTATATTACCTCTCCTTATTTCTAGCCCTCGGCAACAATATGCCTCCCTTTATACCTCTCGATCCTTATAATTATCTTTCTTCTCTTGTTCCTCTCTCCATCTATTTCCCTATCACTATGTCTTCTCTATTTTTCTGTTACATATTTCTATGATGTGATTGAGATGTTTTAATCTTTTAATCGATTTTTGTGCATATAGTTGAAACTCAATTCGTTAGCGGCCGCGTAGCCGTTTTCTTGGGAACGTATTTTTGTGTGTTGAGTTTAGTACCCCTCGTTCACTGATATTCTGTTCGGCCTGTCTTGAGATCCGAAGCTGTCATATTGCTGCTAGAGGCATGGTGATGCGTAATCACAATGATCGCGTTTTTTCGGATCGCGTGCTGCATTTCTGCTGACCAAGAGGAAAAAAAAAAAAAAAAAAAAAAAAAAATCGGGCACGTGGCCACTGGATTTGCTTTGCCAAAAAAAAAAAAAAAAAAAAAAAAAAATTGATACTGTTGAAGCGGCTTTCATTCTGCTGCTTCAGCAAATCTTGACTAAAAAAAGATGTCAGTGTACGAGGCGGTTAATTGTCAATAATTTTACAGCATTTCAGTAGCTTTTGTTTTTGCTATTTGTTGTTTTCAATTCCATATATCTTATTGCAACCTGAACGATTATGTAAATAGTTAAGTCTGCTTTGACGTTGTTTTTTTAACATTATATTAGTTCTCCTCAACTTTTCGACAGGTCCTTACTATTGTATTATAGTAGCTTGTAAGGAATACTTTTAATGTCATACATCGTCTTACTTTAGGAGGTCGTGACTTCATGACCCCGAATTTTATGTCAAACTCACCAGAACTTTTGAAAACTAGATTACACTGTACCAAGCAATTACGACTGTGCTGGTTTCTATCACAATGTTACGTATGGGTAGACAAACATATATGCCGTTTTGAAATTTACACATGTCGTATGTCAAAGAGCTTAGGCCACTTCTGCAACGTCATTTTATTTTTGACCAAGTTTTCAGATTCAGATTTGATGTTTGCTATCCCTCATTCGCTTCATTACACGATATGTCAGGATTTTTTTTCCTTTAAATTCTTTATATACATTGTAGTGCAAATTTTTTTGGTTTAACATGACTGTAATTCTATTTTTTTTTATCAATCACTGAGGACAGTGACTTTTTAAGGAGAGGGGGAATAGTGTTACGAATTTAGATATATGTCTGTATCATGTGCATAGTCCATTATTATTTCGCTATAATATTATTGCTTGCTGTGCAAGTCAAACTTGTCCTTCGGTAGATTTACGACGTTGTTTTTCGTCCTCGAGTAATTCTTGCAGTTCGATTGCGTAAGCCCAGGGCCACGCTCGTCTAAGAGAATCTGTCCTCGTCTTACGTAACGGCAAGGACAGATACTCAGTCGCGTGCGGCCTCCGACTGACCCCGAGCGGAGGCCAGACTTTGTCCTCAGTTTGAGGACAGACTCTGCCCTTTAGCTCGAGGTCGGGTTGTGTCCTTGCTGCTACAAAACAGCTCCCTATATAAAGCCAGGGATTCTAAAATCGAGAGAGTTCGGACTGACTTCTTGAGACTTCTCCTCGTACTCCTTTCTGCCGTTTTTCGTAATTCACTGAACCTGACTGTATACCAAGTTGTCATTATTTGAAGTTAGTGTAATAAACATCGAATGGAACTGAAACTCACGAATACTCCATTTCTTCTGTTGAATTTATATTGCATACACGCATGAGCTCGAGTGAGAGAGATATTGAGCGAGAACTGAACGAGAGCAGTCTGATTTAAACACTATTTGTAATCAAATTTCGTTACAATATATATATATATATATTATGTAAAAAAACGAAGAATTTCTTCTTACAATCAAACAGTCATATAATATAAAGCAAGCAAGTGATAGAGGACATTAGAAAATTATGTGTAAAAAAAAGGTGACAGACAAAAAAATGGCTACTTTGTTCTAGGGTTTTGAGAACTAGTCAGTGCACTATTACTTTCTGTCCACATCAATTAGCCCAGCTCGTATATGAATCAATAACTTAGGTCAACCGTAGCCAATTAGTTTAATTGAATATTAGTTTATTGATACTCGGGACTAATGAATAATGATTCTATCACTTATTCATTTTTTATGATATTTAGGCAGAAGAAAATGCGATTCCAGATAGACATGGACACTCATAAACCGCACAAAGCTGGAGGCGGTAAGGTAAGACAGAGTCACAAAACTTGCGAATGTCCATTGCACATATTCGGTAGCTAATCAAGCCCGTCCAGTTGATCAGCGCAGACCCTGGTCATTAAAACTTTCTTTCTGCTCTTCGTTTGCAATCAATTCTGTGCGACGTTGAAGGTTTGAGAGGTGTTTCCATGGACCTACTACGAAGTGGTTTAACCCTAATAAGGCCGGGGGGGGGGCATTATCCCCCCCCCCCCGCGATTTTTCTGATTGTCCAGGAACGCATACAAATGGCGCCCCGCCGCTCACTGACTTTTTTCTTTCGAGTCTAGCGCATCTTTTAAACAATTTTTGAATGTAATTTTTCCTAAAAAGAGATAAAATATTGGTTATTGGGTCTTGTTTAAAGTTTAGGTGTTTGTTTTGGGATTCAAAATAGTTGCATTGTGGTTAGAAATGAAATAAAACAATAAAAACATTAAAATACATAAGTTAAAAAACAGTAAAAAACATGAGAAAAAAAATGCTTAAAGGGGCATGTTCCCCGTATTCCAGAGGGCGTTCAAAATACGTACCCGCTGGCGGACGGTGCTAGCTGCCTATTGACACCAACAGAATACGGCTCTTACGCAGATGGCATGTTCCGAATGCCCCACAATGCCAATTATCGCATACATGTGCCGAAGTAATACCAATCGCAGATCGGCTCTAAGATTCGGCTGCTGTTTCCGCCCACTTTCGTGACGTCACAATCGGCAGCGATCAGCTGGCTTGGCGAAGGCAGGCCAGGACGCGCGTACTTTGATTGACAGCTGTAAGAAGTCGATCTTCGGAACCAAGATGGCGATGACTAGAGCAGCGATAACTACACTGGCAGGAACGTGCCCCTTTAAATATAAAGAATATATGATTTATGGGTAAAAAGGTGAATGTTATGACCTTATTTGCATAAATTACCATAAATATGCAAATGAGTGAATTTTTCAAAAAATTAAATGCACCATAATTATCATTCTATCCAATTCACTTGACATGCGTGCACATTTTCGCGGCGGTTGCGAGACCTCTGCTCAACCACTAAGCATTTGCGCCTCACTGTCATCATGTTCATACTGTAAACGTTTCAAAGACTGCATAAATTAATCATTCACGCCATCCCAAATCAGGTAACGCCCCTCGTGTGCTAATGGCTTAAAGACACGTTTATGCTTTTAAAACTTGTTTTGCTTAGCCCCGTACGCGTCTTTTTCCGTAATATAGCCATCCTGTCGCTTTATTTGATTGGCTCAATAGGACCTATACGTCATCGCTAGTCATCAATATTCATGATACGCACGCACACAGAATCTGAAGCGAAAATTTATCAAATATGATATTTCATACAAAAATTACAGATACAAAGCTAAGTTTACTTTAAATAAGTGACATTGCGACAAAATCGGGAGGCTTACCATAAACGAATGACTACCCAGTTTCGTAACTTGTCCATATTTCATTGGTTAATTTAGTCCAGAATCTGGCCGATTTAATTTTGAATTTGATCTCCACCTCACTGTACCAATTCCAGGATGGCTATATTACGGGGAAAAAAGATGCCCCCATACTTTCCCTTGTACATTAAATTATCTTCAATTATGTCACAATGTGGCATATTCTACGGTGTCTTTGAAATGTCACACATTCCATGTCTACTTCATTCATTTTTTCTTCTATCTCTCGACAGGCTCCAAAAGCTAAACAAATCTTTTTTCACTCCGAATAAACAACTGGCCCATGCACTGGCGTACCTACGGGGGGGGCAGGGGGGGCAGAGTGCCCCCCCTGACGGGCTCCAGGGGAAAAAAAAGAAAAGGGGAAAGAAAAGAAAAAAAGGAAAGGAAAGAAAAAGAAAAAAAGAAAAGGGAAGAAAAAAAGGAAAGAAAGAGAAAAAAGGAAAAAAAAGGAAAAGGAAAGAAAAAAGGAAGAAGAAGAGAAAAGGAAGAAAAAGGGAAAAGAAAAGGAAAGGAAAAAAAATGGGGAAATTAAAAAAAAGACCATGGCCGTACGCACCAGGGGGGGGGGCAGTTGACCCCAGATATTTTGAAAACGTACAGTTTTTTTCCTGAAAATGTACGTAGGCCTATACCAAATCCTTCAATTCTACTCTTGAAAATGCAAAAGTACCCTCATGACCAGTTTGGTCGCTCGAACTCCCTTCACTCCTTTTGCTTTTGAGATTCTCCGAAAACTTTCAACGCATCTTTCCCCTCCCCCACCAGAAAAATATTCCTTATACGGCCCTGAAAAATTTAGACAAATGAAAATAGGAAAAATATAAGTGATATAACAAATTCGAAACCCTTCGCTGGCGCGAACTGCTTGCTAGCCTATTTTGTATTAAATGTTTTCACTTGCTCGTCCCCCTGAAAAAAAGAAGGATTAGCATGGCAACAATAACACACAGTGTATGTACCAAATGTTACTAAAAGAGAGTAATTCATTTTTCTCGCTCGCTACACTTGCTCGTGAATAAAATGAATAGATATTGCTTTGGAAACAATTGTGCCCACCCTTGACCTGCAACAATATCATTAAAAATGGAAGAGTTTTTACGCCCTCTCGCCAAAAAGGAATTGAATCGCGTTAAACACGATTGCGTCCATTCTGACCTGCACCAATAAAAACTAGTTTATTTATAATTTCTATTAAAAGAGAATTTTTTTTTTGCTTGCTCGCTATGCTCGCTCGCCAAAATGGAATTGACACCGCTAACGTGCCCGCCCCAACCTGCAACAACCAGTTAATGATTATGTACCAAACGTTATTCAAAGAAGTTTTGGTGTGCTCGTGCTCGCCAAAACGGAATTAACATCACCTTAGACATGATTGTGTAAGCTCTGCCCTGCAACAACAAAAATCTGAAATTTATGAACCAATTATCATTACAAAAATTTTGCTCGCTCGCTACGCTCGCTCGCCAAAATAGAAATAACACCGCTTTAATAATCACGACCCTGACATGGAACAATGAACCAAAGTTTATGTACCATATTTTCCCTATAAAAGAGAAGTGATTTTTTGCTCGCTCGCTACGCTCGCTCGCCAAAATAGAAATAACACCGCTTTTAATAATCACGTCCCTGACATGGAACAATGAACCCAAGTTTATGTACCATATTTTCCCTATAAAAGAGAAGTGATTTTTTTGCTCGCTTGCTACGCTCGCTCGCCAAAATAGAAATAACACCGCTTTTAATAATCACGTCCCTGACATGGAACAATGAACCCAAGTTTATGTACCATATTTTCCCTACAAAGAGAAGTGATTTTTTTGCTCGTTCGCTACGCTCGCTCGCCAAAATAGAAATAACACCGCTTTTAATAATCACGTCCCTGACATGGAACAATGAACCTAAGTTTTATGTACCATATTTTCCCTACAAAAGAGAAGTGATTTTTTTGCTCGCTCGCTACGCTCGCTCGCCAAAATAGAAATAACACCGCTTTTTAATAATCACGTCCCTGACATGGAACAATGAACCTAAGTTTTATGTACCAAATTTTCCCTATAACGAGAAGTGATTTTTTTCGCTCGCGAGCTCGTGGAATTATGTGCCCACCACTAACCTGCTACAATATCATTAAAAAGAGAAAATGTAGGGGGTTGCCTGCCCGCCAAAATGGGATTGACATTGCCTTTAAAAAAGATTGTGCCCGCCCCCGACCTGCAACAATGAAACAAATTTTATATAGCAATTCATTGAGAGAAAGATGTATTTAGGCTCGCTAGCTAAAATGGGTATGAAATCACCCTAAACACAATATTGTTTCCGCGCCCTGCATGGGACAATTGAACCAAGTTTAAGTGGCAATTATTAAAAAAGGAGTGATTTTTTTCTTGCTCGCTACGCTCGTTTGCAAAAAAATGAAATTAACGTCGCTAACAAGTGAATGTTCCCACCCCAACTTGCAACAATACCAGTTTATATACCAAACGTTACTTAAAGATTTTTTTTGCTCGCTCGCTCGCCAGAAGTGAAAATTAGCATCGCCTTTTTTGTTTGTTTCGGTCGCTTGCCCCCCCTGGCGGAGTACCCCAGGTACGCCACTGGGCCCATGTAATAAATCACGGATGTATTGCGACCTATATACATTTCTATTATTATCATTCAGACACCCTTTCAATAAAATCCTACGATAATTGTATTTGTCTGGACAATAGTA